ATGTACCTTCGTTTGTGGTACGAATACAATCGTTCGGCTACACTACTCGAAATAATGTAACCGCTAAATCTACCCGAACTATTCTTAAACTATTCGGTTGAACAATTCACAGTTCACTATCTATAAAAAACATAAGCTACGTAACTAAGAAAAAAAATAAAAAAACAACAAAAGGGGGGAAGAAGGAGAAAGATACTGACCGGATGGTTGCACTTACCCAACCAAGCTTCGTGAAAATTATTTTTTTGCAAAATGGTTTCACGTACTGTCCAGTTCGTTATTTTCATCGAATAAATATTACGATTCCCGCATCTACTATTCATGCGCGTCGTAAATTTATGAAAAAACGTATCAAGTGAGAAAATCATTAAGATTAATTTTTTTATTTAACTCCGTCACTGGAATTTTAAGTCATTGATTACCGCTGCTTCCGTATGGATATCTTTTTAGGAGAAAAAAGAGAGAAGGGGGACCGACGTGATCGATTTACCTGCGATATGATCGTCTCGGAGAACGTGCCTCTGTCGTACTCCCACTCGGCGCACTCCGTCAACGTACCATTGACATTGACTATGCACTGGTCAGCCGATTCCGCGGTAGCTGGCGCGGTACAGTTGTACTCTTGATGAGGCGCCATGAAGACGATAGCGAGCTGGTGCCAAGCGATTGGGAATTTCACCAGCGAGATTGCCAGGCACACGCAAATTTGCCATCGGCCAAGAGTACCGATCGCCTCCTGCACGGCATCGACCTCCTCCTCTTTGTCGATAACATCCTCTTTACCATTAGAGACATGCTTGCCATTCACACCCACTGGAAAATGTACAAATCCTTTAGACATCGAACCGCTGTTCGTTCAACACGTTCACGCCGGCGCGTACAGCGATGCTCGCTTAAATTATACAATTTCTGGCCACGCCAGTGGAATTTAACCGAGCAGACAAAACTGGAGGAAGCTGTTTGCTTCCAGAAATTGACTCGGCGATGCACGTGTCAAATATAAACATGCAACGAAGAAAATTTTAATTGCAGTCGTTTTAACCTTACCTTCTCAAACGCAGCGCCAGTGAATTTCTGAGATTGTTGTGATTAAAATGAGTCCAAACACGATGGAAATCGGACTAGTTTTATCGAGTGGATATAATTAACGAAATTAAAGGTTTGTTTGGACTCATTTTAATGAGAAGAATTTCGACATTTCATCGGTACTACGATTGAGTATATAAGGTTAAAATTATTGCAATTGAAATTTTCTTCATTGCACGTTTATACTTCACGCGTGCGACATCTCCTTGACATTTGTCTATTCTCCTTTTTAAATTTAAACGAGCATCACTGTACCACCAGTGACTTGCACTAAGATATCAAATTAGACGATGTGTACCACTGATCGCTCACATTTTAATTTGGTAATTAGAAAAAATTGCCATATAGTTGAAAATGAACTTTCTTATTGATAATTCCAATATTTTCCGAAATTTTGAGAATTTAGCCGCCAGATGGGAGAGAGTGTAAATTACAGCGCAGGTGTGAACGTGTTAAAGTGTTTGTTATGCGGGGTGTTTCGGTAAGAATTGGTACTTGATTGTCTCTGCTATTTCTGGAGGCATGAAAGAAACTTTATCAACGAATTCTTCAATCTAATGGAGGATATAGTGCGGCATTAATAATTTTTTTGTAAGTAGAGGAACTTTTGAGACGTCAAGGGCATCTTCGTGTTTTTAAGTGAAATGATATGTTTTCTTTTATGTGATACACATAATCGATGGAGCTCTGTATTCTGTATAAAAAGGAAATAATCTATATGTATATGTCGAAAAAAAATTAGTTAAAAGAATATTTTAATTTTGATTTTGTTGAATACCTTAGATTTTATTTCCCATATTTTCTTGTTTATACACTAGTAACTGCTCTCGATACGATGGTCTAACGAATGTAATTCATTGATAATATTTCATTTGATTAATTAATAATATTTAAGGTTTTCAAGGTAAAATCTGAAGTATACATTATAATGCTAATTTGTAGTCTTCGAAGCTAATGGCTTAGATTTATAGCGGGTATAATTGGACACAACGAAGTTATAATACTGAACTGGCAAGAATACCAGCAATTTGCCAACACTATTTTAAGATATATGAACAATTGATGTTTGATATTGCGTGATGAATGGTGATAATATATTTATGAGCATTTGTTAGCAAGTAAACCGACATTGTGACCCAATTCTTGATTAATAATGAGGCACGAATCTGAATAGTCAATTGAACTTCGTTGCCAACCGGTTCTATATAATGACAGCCATTGTACGAAGTGTTTATTAAGGGTAAATATTAAACATAATATAATAGTAAACATGCTATAATATATTTATTTGAGTTCGCATTTCAGATTGTAGAAAATTTAGATTCCGATACTCGATTTACAATGAATTTATTAGGACACCGTATAAACACTGAACTTTTGTATTAATATATATGAAGTTTTAAGAAATAAATAATAAAAGTTTATTATAAAAGAATATGGTCACTTTTTTGCAAATCTATTATATAGGTACTAATTAGTAATTATTAATAATTCGTTCAAGTGTTTAAGCATATCCTTAACGGGTCTTGTGCATTGGAAAAATCAGGTAAGATAATGATTGCGATTCTACGGCAACGTTAAAATGGAAAAATTTATTAGAAATCATGAACAATGAAAATAAAACGATATTCCGATCAAAATATTTGTCGTAATACTAAAAATGTAAAAACCAATAAATCAATAAGTAAACCTTCAATTTTTCATTAACGGTAAAAAAATAATTTCAATCTATTTCAATCAATTGAAAGAAATAGTTTCAGGACACCTAATCGCAATCGTGAAAGTCTTAATTCGAATGTAGAAGTATTCGAGGAATGAATTTACGAGTTTCGTCTTGTACAGTCCGTTCGCAAACTTAAGATCGTCTGAAGAATTAATATCCCTCGATGCGGCTTACCGTGGCAAACACGTTTGCGAAAATAACTTACGTGTCGTATGAGTAATTAAGTTCAGACAATTGTGTTTTCAAATTGCAAATCTGATTTCCGATGGAAGTGTATATGGTATTAGCATTGTAGATTATCTGTCATGTTCCGACAATGTATTAGACGGCGTGCCTTTCATCGCGCAACAAACACCTGGATTTGTAATATTCCATGTTTACAAATTTATCTAAGTGTCGATCGGAATCTAATGATCATACGATTCCAAACATTGGAAAAATTTTAAAACACACCCTTATCTCCGCATTGCACACACATACCATACAAACATAGAATAATGGACATTTAAACTTACGAGACTGAAGTTTTATATCACTCTCGTACCTTTCCATTAGTGATATGTATCAAAGAATAATATTCGTCTTACAACTGATAAGAAATTCATCAAATCGATTAAGTATCTTGTTCTTTGTGAATAATAGAAATATAATAGAATTTAAAGTAGGACCGAGGAGAATCAGATATTTAACATTTCTCAGCTTTTTGTTTACAAAACAAAGAGTTTTTAATTGAAACTGAGCGTGTATTAATAACAGATTTATGAGAAAAAGTTTTCTCAGTTTTAACTATTAATTTTTCGCTGTTAAACCTGAACTGATCCAATTCGTTTCTGTCTAGTCTATTTAGAAATTATCGTTCTTATTCCATATTGATGCAAAAAGTTGATTTTAATGTTACATGGTCTATAAAGTTGATTAAAAATTTTATTCCAAACATTTCCAGAGGTGTAATTATGTTAATATTTCTTTTCAGAAGAATTTACATGTTTCCTTTATTCTGAAACAATTGATAACAACTTGTCTTCGTTAATCATGAGAATGGACATCGCTCAAAACAGTCTTGTAGTTGTTTAACATGTAAGTAATTCTGAAACAGCAGGTAAAAACTTCACGCTAATGATTCCATTATCACTTCGTCTCGTGTCGGGTCGAACACAAAGACCGCTCATACATGAGACTATAGTCTGTAACTTGTTTCAACCTGTTTTTAACGCCTTTAACATTCCTTCTTAGATATGCCTTACGGTTCCGCGTGCTTAGCTTCCTTAGAATTTAATAAGAAAGTTATTGAAACCTGATAAAAGCAAACTGGAAATATTAGCGGTACTTTAAAGAATTTTCCAATCGTTGAAGTTTGAATTCAATAATCGAAGAAACAAACAAAAAGTGGAGAACATTATACTGTAGTGTGAGATGTTCGCTGCACTCAGAATGATTTTTAATTTAGAAAAAGAAATGACGTATGAACAAAATTGGATTAAAGAAAATTTATCGTGTAAATCTTTTTCCACAACAGCTAAGTAAATTTGAAAGTTAACCCCTTGCCCTATGATTTCTTTCTGAACTGTGATTGATCTACTTTGTTAATAATTTATTGAATGTCAGAGAAAATTCCAGTTTTATTCCGTGTCAACGTGTGATCTAAGGTATAATCATTGATAACGGAGGAATAACGTAATTTGCATTCAAACAAATTGAATAATATTTATGTTTATTAACCCTTTGCACTCGAGAGTCGCCTTTTGATTTGACCCAAGAAAATTGTAAAATTGAAAATTCAATCTTAAATTTTATACAATGTATCAACACATGGAACATTGAAGTAAAATAGTCACATAATTTATGCGAGGTATTTCTTTATGTTAGTTGCAAAAAATATCATAGACACTTCATCAGAAAATAATGAATATTTATTGAGAAAAATATTCTCGAGTGCAAAGGGTTGAATTTTAGTTGAATTCTTCGCCACGAGTCCGACACGATGTTGCAGGGCAAGGGGTTAAAGACGCAGGGAAATATTACCTTTCTAAATAAGTCTCTTTTAAAGTTCCCTACAAAGGAACGGGCGTTCCTTTTCTGGGAATATGTCCACCGATGTGCAACTTGACCAAAATGAACGACGAGTCTGCACGCAGGGAGCACAGACCGAATGGAATGCAAATAAGCGCTAAAAATACGAACGGAGATACCTGTCCTTACCTAGTTAAGGTACTCGTTTATCTTCGGTTTCTCGAGACACGCCATAAACAACATTGTTTGTAACTGCCACCCGCTTGTCATATATACCGTGAAATTGATAGTTAGCGGCATTATGCAGATAAATGAATTTCCGGACGATAGTAAACATGAAAATATTTGATAAGTTATGATATGACTGTCAGCTTCATAGCTAAAGGAGATATTGTGAACAATTTTGTGAATACACATCGGTGTGTTTGTAACGTTGTCTTTAATCAAAGAAAATGAAATGGCATTAAAATTTTGTTTACAAGGGAACAATTTAAGTCATCATTTGAAGGAAATTTCCATATTTGGAAAAGTAAGTCGCGAACAAATGATTCAATTGCTCAAACAGCAAGGGATCAGTGTATAATTTCCTTTGTTTCTATTATTTAGGCAATCGATAGATTCATTATTAACACGTTGAACGTAGCATGAGTTCATGTAGCAAAATACACAAAATGGAAAAAATATTAAATCATTTGACTGAATTGGATTATTATCATTGTACGTTCATCTGAATGTCACCGCAATGGATAGCATTATTTATAATATAGAAATGTTTGCGAATAGTCATCGTGTAATTGAGTGAATTATAGTAATCCGATTTGCTTAGGGTCACCGGTGACCCCCATGGCATTCAACGTGTTAATAATTATACTGCTGTTTCGAACAATATATTATTGGATTAAAATTTAAGCTGTTTTATAATTACCATTCAGAGTGTATTATAGAAGGGATGAACATTGCTGTTCACAATTAAAGAAGTTAAGTGAACGATACC